TTGTTTCTTTTACTAACTGTAAGGCTTAGAAGAATTCTAATTGGAAAAAAAGGTTAATGTTGATATATCTGATAAAAGTGACCTTTAGCCAACGAGTGCTTTATATTTTTCTGAAGGCCGGACCAGAGAGAGCCTATCTAAAAGGAAGTGGCTTTTCTTCTTTTTGCTATTCAAGGTGACATTTATGCCTTGAACCTTTCCATTTGGCAGGTGCCAAGAAGCTGACAGAAAAGAATCTTAAACCAGTTATGAAACGATTCTCCTCTCAGTGCAAATAGTAGTGGGAGCAGGGGCAGCAGCTGATTCATTAAAAAGTACCCTCTGAGGACCGACTGTGCTAACGATTGTGCTGGGCTCTGGGATCCAGAGGCAACAGGACAGACGTGTTCCCTGGCTCCATGGGTATTAAAAGCCAGCTGTGAGGTTGGATATTGAGCCATTATTACAAATGTAATGTGTCACCAAGGAGATGGTCTCCCAGCACCTATGACGGGCTCTGGTCTAGGCAAGGGCCTCAGAGAAGGCTTCCCTGGGGCAGGATGTTTAAGCTGAGACTTGATGGGGGAGCGGGGGCTAGCTAGGTGAGGAGTGGGGAACAGCGCCCAGCAGGGGTAGAGCAGTCAGATAGGCACAGCGCTGGACAGGAAAAGAGGCCAGCGTAAACAAAGAAGTGAGAAGAAACCAGAGAGAAACATGCTGAGCCTTGCAGAACACAGTAGGTATTTTGTACTTTATCCCCAAGAAGCATGGGTGTCATTAAAGGCTGAAAGAAAGGACAGTGCCTGCTCATCGCGTGGTACTGAGTGGATGATGGACTGTGGCACGTGAACCGAAGCGGAGTGCCCAGTTCAGGGCTGTTGCATGGTCCAGGCAAGGGGCAATGGTGACTGAACTAGGGTAACAACTGTGGAAATGAGAATATGAGGTTTTTAGAAGGTGGAATAGGTAGAACTTGGTGATGGATTTGATTAAGTGGGTGGGGTCAGGGAGAGGAAGGAGTCTGGATGCCTCCTAGGACAGTGATGTCATTTACTGAGATGGGGGGTCCTAGAGGAGAAGCAAGGAGGGAATGGGGGAGAGCCTGGGTTTAGTGTGGAGCCTGTTGGATGCGAGTCACCTAGGAGACATCCATGAGATGTCAAGGTGATGCACCTGGAACTCAGTAGAGGGGTCTAGGTAGAGATGCGCAATTGGAAGCCTCAGCAACAGGGGCTAAGTAAAGTTGTGGGGTGCGTGCAATTGTCAGGAAGAGCAGAAGGCCAGGACAGAGCCCTGTGTACTACTAGTCCAGCAGAGTTATCACTGGCCGAGAGCTAAGAAGGAGCAGTCAGTCAAGGGGATAAGAGGAAAAGCCAGAAAGGAACGGGTTTCAGGAAGGTGGGATTGGACAACTGTGCTGAATGCTGTTAAGAGTTATCGTTCTGAGAAAACCTGACTCTTGTCATTCTCTTGATTATAAATCTCACCATTGCCTCCAAGAAAGTCTAAACTCCTTATCATGGAATACCAGGCTTCTCACACACGACTGCCAATCTCCTCCCAGGCTCATCTCCCTGACTTCTCCTTTGCCATGAAGTCTGCGTTGGAGCCACGCTGACATACCCTCTGTCCACACTGGTAGGTGGGTGCCAGTGTCTCGCCAGCATGCATCTTCTCATATGTCAGTTTTTGTCTGGAGATCGGCCCCATTTCCACCCCCTTCAGTCCACGGGGCTCTGAGGTCACCGCTGCAGCCCTTGGTGCGGGGCCAATGCTGGTCAGTGCTTCCCCCCACTTTGACAGTGACTGGTAGGAGGAGAGGACAGGAAATGTGACTAAGCTGGTCTGATCAGGGTGAATCTCATGGAAGTCCTGCGACAAAGGCTCATGTCCCTTTTCAGTGGATGAAAATCTGCAAGGACATGGCCCCAGGAGTGAAGGCAGCCATTTGGGGACCGTGGGGAGAAGAGCCGATCTGAGAATATGGCTAACACATTGAAGGGAGCAGAGCTGAGAGTCAGAGACCCTGGCTCCTGGGACACTGTTAGAGCCCTTGCTTTAAGCCAGGCCAGACGCCAAAATGTATCTGTACTTTCAAGTTGTGGGAATCCATGAATGTTCTTTTCTTTTTCTTTTTTGCTTATGGTCATGTTTCCTGTCACTTGCAATAGAATTGAATCCATGCATCCTAACTAATATAAACATACTATACTTGTTATTTAGAATGTTTCCCTGCTTCTCCATCTGGAGCATTTAACTGTGCTTCTCAGTACAGCCTTGTCCGGCTCCTCTGAGCAATTATCCCCGCTCTGTCCCTCCTCAGAGCCTGGCATTATCACATGTCCACCATGGTTTACACATGTGGTCCCCCAACAGCCTCGGGCCGCAATCATGTCTTATTTACTTTTCTATCCCTGAAGCCTCACACATTATCTGGTGCACAAGAATCACTAATCAAATGTTTTCTGGATGACTCTGAGTGAATGAATGAATGAATGAATGAATGATAAGCAGAGGCTCAATATCAAGATATAGGATGATACTGAAGAAAGTAAAAAAATGGTTAAATGAATGCTTAAACCAATGAAAAATTAAACATATCATCTCCAGTACTGGCCAAGCACATTTACAAAATGTCACTATTTTAATTATGGAAATGGCCTCTCAAAAATAAAACACAAATAAAGCATGTACTTTGCTCCCAGATAAATGAACTCATTTAGCTATGCTACATCAGAATAACTTCGCAGAATCTGGTATTTGAAGCTCATTAGGTCAGGTTGGCTGGTTTTTCCATAATGATTTTAAATGTTCATCTTCTGCAGAATTTCATTCCAAATCTAAACAGTCCTTCGCACCTAATGATCAGGTCCCAGCACTCAGGCCCAGGCCTGGCTTCTGTGCTGTGCTGGGTCATCCTTAGATGTCTCCGGAAAACACCCAGAGCAAGCCATCATTACCGTGGTAACAACTGGAAAGGAAGGGGTGGCTGTCACAGCGAGACGAGGACGGTACACAGGAAGCACAAACAAGCCAAGGAAACGTGAAGCTTTCGGTTAAGAATGACCACTCAACAGTCAGTGCTGAAAATTGCGTTGTCCAAACATCCAGTAAGGACACATGCAGAAGCCCATTTGTCCTGATCACCAAAGAGGCTTGACCCAGATGAAATGTTCCTGAGGCCTGACTAAAACAGCCTGTTTATATTTTTTAAAGGAGTGTTTTCCAAATTAAGTTTGGATTTAGCTTCTAATTGAACTTAAATTTAATTGACCAGGAGAGATACCTCTAAACACAAATATTGGTGGGTTTTTAAAAAAAATTAAATGTATGGGGGTGATATTGGTTTGTAAAATTATATAGGTTTCAAGTGTACAATTCTATAATACATCGTCTGTATGTTGCATTGTGTTCGCCACCCAGAGTCAGTTCTCCTTCCATCACCATATACATGACTCCCTTTTTCCTCTTCTATCACGCCCACCTCCCCTTACCTTCTGGTAGCCATTAAACTGTCGTCTGTGTCTGTGTTTGCTTTAAACACAAATATTGTTAAGACAGCTTTTCCCTTTCCGCACTCATCACCTCCCACTATTTGTACATATGTATATGTACCTGTACATATACAGGCCAGAGCGAAACCCACTGAAATGTAGAACATGGAGCTCTGTGCAGCACATACTCAGTGTATTGGGCTATGCAATTATTTCATGCTTTAGGTCTGAAATGCTTATTAAGAAAACTCTACAGTGGGATTGCAAATTGGTGCAGCCACTATGGAAAACAGTATGGAGGTTCCTCAAAAAATAAAAAATAGAGCTACCTAATGATCCAGCAATTCCACTTCTGGGCATTTAACTAAAGAAAATAAAAACACTAATTCGAAGAGTTATGCACTCCTATGTTCACTGCCACATTATTTATAATAGCCAAGGTATGGAAGCAACCTAAGTGTCCACTGATAAACCACTGAGTAAAGAAGACGCAGTCCATATATACAATGGAATATTATTCGGCCATAAAAATAACGAAATCTTATCATTTGCGACAACATGGATGGAACTGGGAGGTATTATGCTAAGTGAAATAAGTCAGACAGAGAAAGACAAATACCATATTATATCACTTATATGTGGAATCTAAAGAACAAAATAAACAAATAAACAGAAACAGACTTATAGAAACAGAACAAACTGATGGTTGCTGAATGGGAAGGGGGTTGCAGCGCTGGGTGAAAAAGGTGAAGGGGTCAAGAAGTACAACTTGGTAGTTACAAAATAGTCACAGGGATGTAAAGTACAGCATAGGGAATATAGTCAATAATATTGCAATAACTATGTATAGCGTCAGGTGGATAGTAGACTAATGGCAGGGGGGAAGGTGTAACTTCACAAATTATATAAATGTCTAGCCACTATGCTGTACACCTGAAACGAATATAAAATAATACTGAATATCAACTGTAATTGGAAAAAAAAATTTTAAAGGGAGGAAAAAGATGAAGGGGAGTAAGAGGTTCAAATTTCCAGTTATAAAAGGAATAAGTCATGAGGATGTAATGTACAAGATTGGGAATATAGTCAATAAATTTGTAATAATGTTGTACAGTGTCAGATGGTTACTAGACTTACCATGGTGTTGACTAACTATGGTGTACACCTGAAACTAATATAATATTGTATATTAGCTACATTTTAATAAAATTAAAAAGAGGAAACTCTACAAAGACTATTTTGGTGACAAATTTTTAATGATCCAACCACTAGATTCAAAATTAAAGCAGGCTTATTGCTTTGTTAATTTGGTGGTGACTGGGGCTTTCAAAGATGTTTTATCTGCTTTTCCTTCTTGGAAATCCAGGAAGGAACAAGATTTTAGGCTCTTTGTTATTTCTGTCAATAATTAGTTATCAGAACCGAAAGTGTCCATAAAAGACCAGTACCCAGAATACAGGAACCCAGTGCAAAGCCTGAGGAGAAAAACATGAATAGTGGAGAAGGACCTCTGAATATGAGTGGTACCTTATCTGGTTTTCCTCGTCGTCCACCAGGAAGAACCAGCGGAACTTCACAACCAGCGGGCTGCAGTTGGTGATGGTGACGTAGCGGATCTCCTCAGTGTCGTTCAGGATACAGCCGAAATCCAGCTCCATGGTCTCAAAGCTGAGGTTGGGGTAATGCACCTCACCACGAAGGTTCAGGATGTCCACCTGAGGGTGCTCCACATACTTGATTGCTAGGGTTTCTTCTGCCACCCAGTTGTTCAAATCGCTTCTGTGGGAAGGGTCAAATTTGACCAGCAGGCTTTTTTCTTCACCAATCCCCAGTTTCATGGGCTACAAACAAGATAGTGGGAATTACCAACCTTGGTACTATGCATTTCTAACCTGATACATGAAACAGGACAGCTAAAGTTATCTAAATATACTTATGTACACACACATACAGATACATACATACACACAGGTTAGTATGAAATACATATATATCCACTTTATTTATCCATAATTATGTATCCACACTTATACATAATTAAACAACTAGTATATCTATATTGATATCCATACCTATACCTATCCATAAGTATTTATCCACACACACACACACACATACACACACACACACACACACACACACACATATTTTATTAGTTGAAAATGAAAGCAGGGAACATTTGGACAGGAGTGATTTGAAGGAAGAGGTTTTGATAAGAGTTGTGAGGTTATAATGATGGAGGAGTTGTAAAATGGAAGATCTACAATGACTAGATATTATATAATGTTCCTAACTGAAAATAAATTAAATTGTAAAATGCTCTTCCTAGACAAGTAGGAAAAGTTCTTTGCTTAAGAAATTTTTAAAAAGGCTTTCTAAAGCACTGGGGGAGGGGCTCTGTAGAGGATGACCCAGAAAGGGACGGATTAGGTAATTTAATTCTTCTCTAATGTCTGCCGTTCTAACTCTTAAGCACAGTGCTATCCACTTTCCGCTGTTTTCAACTTAAAATGACACTCCAGAGCTGTACGGTTTGGGTTTGTTGGGTAGATTTCATTTGTTCTTTTCTCTCTTTGATTCAAATCCCCATGTGTCCCATGATGCAAAGGCCACAGTAACACCTTCCCTTTTATAGAAAGCCTGGCTGTGAGTTGGCTTTTTCAGGAGTTGCTCAATTTCCATATTTAATCGGCATGAAAGTCACCTCCTCGTTTGGCAGAAAGTGCCCCAGGGCAGTCAAGAGGCATGCATATAGGAACGAATCCGTTTACAGAGCACGCCCCTCTCCACTGAGTTTTAAGGTTCAGGTATTTAACTGTGCACATCAGTGATGTGATTAGATGGTTCCAATTGTTAGTGCCATTGACCTGATTCAAGAGCGAAAGAGAGGGGAATGACTCTTCCGTTGGCTAATGTGTGGCTGGCCACGTGGCACAGCTGGCTGGGCACAATTCAGAACCCACTCTTGTAGACCATGGCGTCTGCAGCAGTTGGTATCACAATGCTTGGTGTTTAAATATCTCTGAAGATTGACTTCAACACTTTTTGCTTCCCAGAGGAATGACTTTGTTGTTTTGTAGAAATGATACATATCCACAAAATTTTACATTATATATAAAAGCATAAAGAAGAAATTAGAAACTCATCCAAAATTTCACCATATATTATTTCTCAGAGTTCATGTTTGGTAAACATTAGTCCAGACATGATGGATGACTAAATAAAATTTTACAAAAATAGAATTAGATGAGTTTATTTAAAAACATTTTTGAATTTTTTCTCAAAACAAACAAACAAACAAACAAAAACACCTGAAAAAATTTTCCTATACAAAAGATACTAATCCTGAAATCATGGACTCTGGAGCCAGACTGTTTGGGTTCAAGTCCTGATCTGCCTGATACTAGCTCTATGAATTTGGGCAAAGTTGCTTGGCCTTCCTAGTTCTGTTTCTCCATCTGTAAAGTAGGGGCAATAATAGTACCTACTTCTTTTTAAGAGGATGAAATGAGTTAATATACATATCATGTCTTCAGAGCAGTGTCTGGCACATAATATATGGTATATAAGCACCAGTTATTACTATTATTCCTTTATGATCAAGAAAAAAGATGGTTAAATATTAAGCAGTTTCACCTTTTGACAATATCTGATTGACACCCATCTATAAAAGGGGATGAAACCAGCACACTTATGCTCCCTCCACGTCCCAGTTATTATTGTAGTGTTAATTTTAAAAAGCTGAGGTAGAACATTCTAACCACCAAAGTTGATTAGTCTCAGTTGTAGAGTTAATGAACTCATTCCTCCTGCCAGTCTTTTCCTGAGTGTTTTTGTTTTTTCTCCCCATTTCTGAGTGCCTTATTAGGTTCTTCTCCTGAATATTTGTATTTCACTGGCAAATTAGTTTTTCAACAAGAGAGCATGAGTATGGTATTCATCGAGTCCTTCCTTGCATTCTAAGAGTGTCTGCCTGTTACCTTTATACTCAAAGGACAATCTGACTGCTTATAAAATTCTTGGGTCACACTTTCTTTCTCTCAAAATTCTGCAGCATCGCCCTATTGCCATCTGGCATCCAGTATTATTGTGGAGAAGTCCAAGGTGAGTGTAAAATCTTCCCTTGATGGGGTCTCTTCTTTTGTGCTTAGATGCCATGGGATTCTTTGGTTATCAGTAAGACCAGTAACTTCACTAAGACATGTCTCATTGCTGAACATTCTTTATCACTTTGGCCCAAGACAAGGTGTAGCCATATTTAAAAAAATATTTACTTTATATAAAAAATATATTTAATTTATATTATCAAATAGGCTAAAGAGAATTCACCTTTGTGCCCATCTCCCCACCTCTGACTCAAGCCAACTATTCCCCTCTCCTGAGGTAACCAAGGTTACAAGTGCTTTCTCTCTCTTATGGAGATACTGTACGGATATAAAATCACATTCATTTATATATTCTTTTGTTTTTTATACATGATAGCATACTCTGCACTATTGTTTTGCACTTCTCTTTTTTTACTGGGAGATCACTCATCAGTGTATGTGGAGCTGCCTCATTCTTTTTAATAGCTGCATTTTATTTCATCACATAATTCTGCCATCATTTATTTAACCAATCTACTACTCATGGATATTAGCTCACAATATTCTGCTCTTAAAATCAATGTTGCAGCGAATGTCCGTGTATATATGTCATCTTGTATACTGTATTTATATCTGTATGATACATTCCTAAGAGTGGAATAACTAGGTTAAATGGTGTGGGCATTTAAAATTTTGATACTTACTGCCATATTGTCTCCCATTGTATACTTTCCCAACACTATAGGGGACTCCCTTCTTTCACACGCCCTTCCAAACACAAAGCACTATCCTACTTTTTGCTCACTGCCAATCTGATAGGGGTTAAAAAAAAATGTGTTTCAGTCATTTTAATTTGCTTTTCTCCTAAAATGATTAAAAGTGCACATATTTTCATATACTTAAAAGCCATTTTATTTTTCTTTTTGTGAACTTTCTGTTCATTTCCTTTGCCTACTTTTCTGCTGGGTTACTGGTATTTTTCTTGCTGATTTGTAGAAGCTCTTTATGTTACATGTATGTCTTTGTTGAAGTTATACATGCAAATAATATAAAAGGTCAAACTACTATAAGAGTTATTATAAAAAACAGTCGTTCCTGACCCACCCTGGCACCCCAACAATCCAGAGTCAACCATTTCTCAATTCTTGTAGTAGGGCTGGTTTCCTTGGACAGAGAGGGGATGATCAGGGAGTGGGCACACCCCAGATAACCAGGATTATTCTGGGGGTGACGACACTGACACTAGAAACTTCAAATTTCCCCAAATATTTTGATCAGTTTCCATTTCTCTAGGGAAGAGCATTTATCTTTCTATCTTGGGATCAAAGCCAGCTGCCCATGGTTTCTGTGTGGGGTCGAGTGGGACAGCTGTCTGGTGCACATGGAATCCCTCTATTTTCAGCACTCTGCTCACACTTGTTGCCGCTGAGTCCAGGCTACTTGGGCTGAACGCCTCCCACATCTTTGCAGCCTCAGTGGAGACCTTTCTAGGCTGCAGATTTTTGTGCTTTTTTTGCCAACCCACTCCATTCTGTCTTCCAGAATTTGTTTAAATCTCTCATTATTTGGTTACACCTTCCTCTTCCCCATCTATTTTATTGCTCTGGGCTTCTTTCCTTTTGGACATCTCTACGTTTATCTTATTAAGATTTCAGGAGGAACAAGAGTGGGTCTAATCTACCGCTCAGACTGAGAAAGCTGCCCGTGTCTGAATTTTCATTTTCTCACCCATTTGTTTTCCTCTGCTCTGTGAGTTCACTCTTCATCTCCTCTTTGAACACTTGCATCTCATCCTTGAGCTCTTTTTAATAAAAGCTCACATCATCTGCAATTTCTCTGAGACTGTCGAGAACTCCATGTTGAGACTGTTGGTCTTCTTCCTTGCCTAGGTCCCCTTGCAGTAGGTTTTCATCAGCCTCTGGCTTATGATGGTTTCCTCCTTTTATTTCTCTGTTCAAAGGTCTTAGCTCGTTTTTTCTCAGCTCATGCTTGAGTGAGACCCGCTAAAGAATTGATGGGGAGGGTCAGGGGAGGGCAGCAGTGCAGTTTACAGTCTCTAGTCGGATACTATCTGCCATACCCTCTCACCAAGTGGCTCTGTCCCTCCTCACCCCCAAAGATCCATCTCCCTGAATGTGGCTCATACCGACTGTCCTTAAGTCACGGCCTCCCTCTTCTGAGACCTCACGATTGTTGCTTGTCCTGCCTTCTTCCTTTACACCACTTCTCCATTAACTGACTGTGTGCGGGTCTAGTTTCTCCTTCAATCCTCCTTTCCTACAGCTCCGCCGTGCCACTTGCCCCATGGCCCAGCCATTCCCACTGCTGCCCTCACGCCCAGCAAAGGATCATGGATATGATCTTGTAGGAATGTGCAGAGACTATTGCATCCTGCCCCAAACTGGTGGCCTGGGCGCTCACACCTCCTCCCTCAGACCTTCTCAGCTTTCCCAGTAGCTGGAGATGGGCTGGCTGGTTTAGGGACTGGGCGTTGGCTATTTCCTCATTTCCTTGTGTGTGAACTTTTGGTCAGATTTGAAGTGAGGGAATTAAAAGATCTTTCCTATCATGAATGCAAAGTCACTGTTTTCTAAAAATCAGCTTCATTAAATGAGCAGGAATGAAAGGGTTGTCATAAAGAGCCAGAAGTTCTTACACTATTAATAATAGTTTCCCTATTGATCAATATTGGAATTCATTTATGACTTCTTTAAAATTTTGTATTCTTTCCTCCTTGTTTCCTGGATTCTTTATATTTTTCTGGAAAGACATTATTTTCTTCCTTTTTTACACACACAATCCTCCCCCTACCCCCACCCCATGCCCCCAGGAGCCTGTGAGGACAGTCCTCTGTTAAGTTACCTCAGGATTTAAGGGCAACAGAGACTTATCAGTCTCACAGATTAAGAAGGGTCTGTTTGTTGAGAGCAACACGGTCACGGGCAGGGTGGAAATGTTCTTCATGACCAAGGGCTGGTAATCAGGTTCCAAGGTAGCATTAGGTTCCTGAGAAAAAAGAAAGGGAGGAAAGAAACCCAGTTATGGTAACCATAGGAAGCCTTTAACAACAAAAGTCTCATAGTATATACTCTTTTTCTCTTGTAGAGATTTAGATAAATCATTTGGAATATATAGTGGACTACTGAGAAGTAAACCTACATAAGCCCGAAAACGTAGATTAGATTTCTTACTCTCTTGTTGCCTGGTTGATAAAACCTACACAAGCCATGCCTCTGAATAGAACAATTACTATAGCCATTTCCACAGTGTCATAAAACAAAGTCTAATACGTTAGTGATATCTTGTAGAAAAACTCATGTATCATTATATGAATTATACATTTTTTCCTTTAAAAAATTTTTTTCCATGCTCAAAATATCCAATTTGCCAATATACTTAACTTATTATATTGACAAATGCGTATAACTATTTCTTCTAAATTTTTCCTGATAACACTGGGATAGTTGATTTAGAAGCATCTTTCCACTCGGTTGAACATATCAAATTTAGTTTTTCAACTGGAGAAAGCATCTTGAGCCAGATGTTTCTGGTCAGGCTGGGTTTTTCTCATTCTAAAGTTGGGGTCCACATTATTTCTTGCATGCCCTACGAAAACAGTCCTTTAATATCAGCAGGAGGTGACCTAAAGCCTCAATCCATGACGTCCAAAGAGAACCTCCCTCCCATCATGCCCCGGCTCTTCCAACAACTCTCGCCTGTTTTTCCCAGGCCTCTGTTTTGATTTGTTTTTTTCTCTCCTTGTTCTGATTTTAGTTAAATCCTCCCGGTGCCACATTTTCATCTGACTCTATCTCTGCTTCTTTGTCCAGTACAGTCTTCCTTTCACTGTGCTTCCTGGATCCCTTGGCTCTGGTGGAGCTTGGGTGACCAGCATCCATTGTGTCTTCGTTTGGGCTGCAACAGATGTTTATGTCTCACAGCTCTTCAGGCTGAGAAGTCCAAAATCAAGGTGCTAGCAGATCCAGCGTCTGGTGAGGGCCTGCTTCCTGGCTTGTAGATGGCTGTCTTCTCACTGTGTCCTCTCATGGCTGACAGAGAGATTCTCTCTCTTACCTCTTCTTGTGAGGGCACTAATCCTGTCCATGAAGGCCTCACCCTCATGACCTAATCACCTCCCAGAGGCTCTTCCTCCAACACCCTCACATTGGGGATTAGGACTTCAACATATGAATTGGAGTGGGGGGGGGGCACACAATCATTCAGTCCAGAACAGTTGGCTTGAGCCTCCTGCCTCCGTTATACTCCACTAGCCCTTGTACAGGGGCTTGGTCTTGTGCTTACCATGAGATGCCAACCACTGTTTCCCTCCCCCCCCACCCTCAACACAGTAATACAGGTACTGGATTTGCCTTGCATTTGCAGATTGCATACTACAGTTTGAGGGAGGGAGAAAATAGCACTTTGGGGCCATACGAAGGCTGCATGGAGAACTGTCCATCCGGTGACCTTCCCCCGGGCTGCTGTCATTGCAGGCAGCTTTGAAGTGAAGAAGCCACACTTGGTTGGTTTTGGCAAGAGGCCATTTAGAGGTTAGTGATGAGAAGGAGTCGATGCACAGACAACCCGTTCTATTTTAACATGACCCCTTTCACTCTGGATTGTTTGTCTCCCCAAAGATCAGGAGACAGGATTTCCTGCTAGACTTCATGAAGCAAACTGGCTGCTGGTTTCAATTTGACCTTTTCAGTTCCACAAAGATGTGGTTTCATCTCTGTGGCTATGAATGGTACAATAGTTATAAAGTAGATCAAATATGAGGCAACAGTTACAGGAAAATTCTTCCCGTAGGCAGTGTTGGTATCATTATAGTCTAATGTACAAAATCAGATACACTGCCTTGAGCTGCAAACAAGGAAACAGGATAGATAATTGGGTGTTACATAATTAAATCCGAATACTGAGACCTCACAGGCCTCTTGCACACAGTGGGTAATGAGGCTGCATTTTTTTGTTGTCCCTCATACGGATTAAATGTGAGCAGGAAATGAACAATGAAAAATAACAGTAGTTAGATTTCAAACTTGTGATATTTGGGGGGAAGGAGAGAAGGGCAGAAACAAACAGGGAGTTGTGACTCAGTTCATTTTTTAATTCAATAAGTTACTGCCATATAAAAATATCTGCTATTTTATTCTGGTGATAAATTCAAACAACAGACAGTTCAGAATATACTATTTTAAAAAGGCTTAAAGATAAAAAGAGAAGAAAAGGAACATTATCCACACACTTTATGAGTATTTACGGGCTTAGAAAAAAATCTAATAAGAAACTAAGCTGTATATTTAATATATACTCTAATGTCTTACACAGAATAGCTATTCAACAAATATTCATTGAGTTTTCTCTGAATAGTTACATTTAGAGAAAATATGATGCCCCTAAATTTGGTGCAGTTTTTGCCAATAAATATCTTTCCCGATTATTTAAAAAAGGAAGACTTTAAAGCAGCAATAAAAGCTTAATAACTATAGCAGAAACTCTTGCAGTATTTTCTTCTTACATGTCTCATGGAGCTTGTCACAATTAGTTTAGCATCCTGCAACTGAAACCCTTATTCTACTTCTTCAATGCCTACTTTCCTTTCTAGTCTTTGAAGCCAGGGGTTTTGCTGTTTTTGCTGCCTCATTCACTGTTCAAAAAGTATTTGTTGACCTGAATTGCAGTTGTACATCTCACCTCCCCTACTCGACTATAAGCTCCTTTATTCATCTCCTAGCAGAGCACCATACCCATGGAGGGTGCGCAATAGATACTTATTTAATGTGAACAAAATATGATGAAATCCTCTATCATAATAAATGGTCTTTACCATTCTCCTGCAAGCCTCCAGGTAATGAAGGGAACCCTGGCTGGTTCCCCCATGACCGTTCAGGCACTGCCACACTCAGTCCTTTCATAGGAGAGCATAGATCACACTATGGGACAATGGCTTACTTAATGCTTGGTCTCCCCAGTTGGCTGTGAGGGTCATCAGGAAGGGGCTATCCTCACTGTTGTATTGCTAGCACCCGACACAGTGCTTGGCACATGGTGGGACTTCATACACATACTCCACTCAGCAGCCAGTGTGACTGTTTCAATGAATAAATCTGACCACGTCACTCTTCCCTGACGCCCTCCAATGGCCACCCAGAACACAACCCAAAGCCCAGAACATGCCTCCCGGTCATGCCACACTCATTGGCCCTTTCCCACTTCTCTAGATGGACCTCGTGTCATTCTTGGTGTATCGTCTCAGGCATCTTCCAGATCTTCATGCTCACCAAGCTCTTCCCTAACTCAGACCCTTCATGTGTGCTGTTCCTTCGGCCTATAATTCTCTCCCTCTCTCATCACCAGACTAACTACATTTTTTCTTCAAGTGTCAACTTGAGGCACCTGCTCAAGGAAGCCATCTGTCACCCCAGGTAGAAATAAGGCCACGTCTCCTGATATGTGCTCTCATAGCACTTTATTCTACCTCTTCTTCATAGCACTGTTTAGAATTGTAATTTAAACTAAATTTTCATAATTTGTTTATAGTCTGTGACCTCAACCAGTCTCTTAGCTTTGACTATGTCTGGTGGATTCACCAGATTTTCAACACCAACACAGTCACCAGCTTGGAAAAAACATTCCATACACATCTGTTTTGAATGGTAAATAACTCTATGATGGAAGTTTGCTGAGGAGTAAGTCAAGTCCTACTGTGATACCTCCTCACCTCTTCATGATTCTGACTCCTGCCCTGAGCAGCAGTCATTCCCATTTCTTTCCGTCCTCTGCCTCCCCATTTATTGCTTGCCCTTAGTGGCCATATAGAGTCATGGACATTTATAACCATATAACTTAAGAATGTGAATCAAATAGTTTAAGTTGATTACTCTCAAGCAGCGTTAGGTGGTCTGCATAATAGCGTAACCTGTATCTCGGTTTCCTCATTGTACCACGGGAATTATAACAGAAACTGCAGCAGAGGCTGTTGTGAGAGCAACTGAGAAAATGTATGTAATGAACATGGCTCAGTGACTAGCACAAAGCAATCAGTAAGTGGTAACTCTTCTTACTGATTATTAAAATTATCAATAATTCTACTCTGACCCGTTCTAAACTGGGATGTCTATTTTACCGAGTTAGAGTAAAATGATCAACTACAGTGCATTTTCAGTGCACTGGAATACCCCTTCGCTTTGGCCTTATACAACAGAATTGATGAAAGCAGAATTTCCGTAGCAATTTACATTTCAAAGGAATGTAGGTTTAGATTCAGAGTTTTTAGTTGAAGGTGTATTGGCCTCTGAAGCTTAAAAAACATAGGCTGGGTGTGGGTGCAACAGGCTTCCCATTCATTTAGCTTCTCCAGTGAAAATGTGAAAGTGCTGGCTCCCAGTTGGAGAACCCAGCCCTCCCCAGCACAGCCCCACTGACCTTCTCCAGTCGGTATATGAGCTGCTTGGTGGAGAGCTGGATAAGTGGTGCTATAAACTCACAGATGATGTTGACAGTCATCACCACGTTCTTCCCTGTCTGTGCCCCGATAGTGGCATGGCATACCAGCTTTTCTTTGACTCTCTGCAGACAACATACACCAGCATTTGGGGAACAGCCATAGCTCAGAAAACTTCATTCTCAACAATCAGCAAACTACCTGCCTGGGGACACCGGGGAAGAGCACTTTTTCCTAAACAGTGCATTTCAGGGATCACTCTCTCTCACACAATTAATGTCTGATTGGTTAAATATGTCCTGGATGACCCTGTGTCTACTTCTGACTGCTCTTGAGGACACAATCAATTTACATTCCGTTCAACCAATATATATAGATAAAGATATAGCTATAGATATAGATATGGAAGATGTATTATTTTGCATCAGGACTGTTAAGGACTGAACATCCCAAACCGTGATGGACAAGGCAGATAAAATCCTTCTGGATTTATATATAGTTCAGTCATTGTTATAATTCTTATCAAGCTAATCAAAAACAGTGGCTGGAAAAATTTTACTTTTCATACTAGAATATTTTAAAATGATGCTATAGAAACTAACATTTCTTTGGTCCCCAGTGGTCCAGATTTTTATACAGTAGAAAGGACCCCAAGTGGATTTATATCATGAATAGCTTGTACTGAAGATTAATCAGGTTTCAGATGTTAATGAATTCAAGTCTCTTCTCAGTTATGTAGCATAACTTGGGAGAACATTCAGAGAAGCTTTTAGTAAAGACTAAACTGAATTTGGAACCATAGCAGCTCGGATTTACTGCCTTTAAAAATATGGTCAGCTCCCGGTCACAACAGGCTGTCAGTGTCTTGAAATGAGGGGCTGCATTCTATTCACGTTTGTATCCTTAGCGCCTGGCACAGTGTTCGTGGTACATACTCAGGAATGGTGGGCTGAACCCCTGACTAACAGAGAGAAAGACCACATTACATACTCTACAATGAAGCAATGGACCAGCTTTGCTGTCTTGTGTGCTGGAAGATAAATTTCTTTTTGTTTCCTGTTTCATGAGGGGAAAGTTCAGTATCAGCTCCTCTTTTGGTGACACCAGGAGGAGCTCAAGCAAGCATCACCTCTCGTTCACAAAATCTGCGTTTGTGAGGTAGAGGAAGCTCACAAGTGATTTTGGAAGTTCCTTTTGGGTTTCTGATGGTTTCCAGTCTCCGTGAGGGAACAGGAAAAAACAGAGACATGGTTTGGATCTGCATAAATGTTTAAGCAGAATGGTGAAAATGTAAATAAGAGCAGAACATCAGAGTTGCTGTAGACAAAGGCAGCTCTTTTGACATATAAAAAGATGATTATAAATGTGATGTTGTTAGTTCAGTCTGAGAGGGAAGGAACTGGGGATGCCCAATACCTGGATTGGAAAGGCAGCCCAGAGTAGCTATAAAAACACACTTTTTGAATAAATATTCATCAGAGGCTTAGCTTTGGCTGAATGCTGAATATCCCTCTCCTAGAGACTTGCAGGGTGAGAACCTGATTTAATTAATATATTAAGGTTGGGTTCATGGTAGCTGTAGAAACAAAGAGACAACCGAGCAGAGCTGAACCTTGAAAGCAGTGGGTGCTGCCATGGTAACCCAGTGCTACATGCAATCCTTGAGAAGCCACATCCTTTCTTCAGATAAATGTCAAGGAACTCTCCTAAGAAACAGAGCAAACATTTATTTAGGAGAAAAGTAGCTTCTAAATATGCTGTCCTCTTACCCTGGGAGTAGCAGAGTAGCCTTCGAGTATCACATCGATGGTCTGGCCTGGGTACAGCTCCATCCTGACGGGGTAGAGCTGAAACACGGGGCTCTGGGGATCCCTGGGTGCCTGGGGGCCCTGGCGCTGGGGCTGGGGCTGGCTCTTAGCAAGTCCCTTCTTAGCCAGGCCTTTCTTGCTCAGCTTGCTCTGGGGACAAAAATTTTCATTCATCCAGAACAACTGTTGGATCCGACGCCCCTTGTTGGTCAATTTGAAGCGGTAGTAACAGGTGTCCAGGCTGGAAAAGAGGAGGCAGGTATTGAGAGCTCAAATTTGGGAAGCTGTGTTTAGCTCCACACCCTTGGGATTTACATGCCCCCTCCCCCCCACCCCGAAGTACTTTAAAAGTGAGCAACAAAATAGACACTATTATTATTATTATTATTATTATTATTATTATTATTATTATTATTTTGCAATTTCCCTGACTGTCTATTATTATTTTTTTTTAGCATAGAAAGGCTACATCATGATGCTACTAGGAGATATCACAGTAATGGGACAAAGAAGCACTGACTCATGGGGTCCAGAGACTCAAGGCAGGGATCTGGGTTTGGCCCCTGAGTTGTCATCTCCAGGGGAGGGGCCGTGGGAGAGTGATCCCATCCCTTCTCAGTCCTTCCCCAGCAGGCCAAGCACCCCACAGAACACACAGACACAGCTCATGTGAAAACCACTCTAATTTACAAGAAATGGTTTTGAAGAGTGAAAGGGAAGTGAAATGCCTACTAGAAGAGAAGCATATTTCAAATTGTGTTGAGTAAATTTCTACTGACTGAGTGCAATGTCTTGTGATGGGCTCGATTTGAAGGGAAGTTCAAAGAGAAATGAAACATATCCTCTAAGCAATACTGAAGGTCAAAAGGGCTGTAATGGACCAGGATACCAGCTAGACTGGTCATTTTTTCTCAAACTAACTTGCTTTAAAGATGCTATTTCACTCCCTCGTTCATCTATGCCACAAATATTTATCAAGGACCTCTTGATTATCTGGCTCTTCGTTAAACACTGGGATTTCTAAGATCTTAGAAGTAGAGGTGATTCAAATGTATTTTTGTTTGGATTTTTTTTAATTGATTCATAAACTTAAAAAAAACATTTTTTTTCAGGGAGAAAATTCATCTCAGGACTGTTTTTAAAACTGTATTAGGCTTTGTGATTTTATCCCATCTGTTCTTCCCTAGGAAATTATATTGAATCTAATAAAGTAGTTGAAGCATTCAGATAAATAATCAGGAGTATTGGCCAGTTGTCAGGTGTACCCATTTCATTCCAGGTATGTGTCCACAGGGCATGCTCACTGGAGTCTCTACTCAGTAGTTTTGGGGAAAACAATAAATAATACATACTGTTTATAAAGTAGGCAGGGCCTCTGCCAATTATTCACGGTGTATATTTCAACCATCACAGCAACCCAGTAATAACTAATATTTACTCCCATTTTATAGATGAAGAAATAGAAGCTCTGAAAATTTAAGGAAGTTGCCCAAAAACATGTAATCAGAAGAGGTGGCATACGGGTATTTTTTTAGACCTATATGACCCCAAGCTGGCAAAGTTTTCTGTAAAGGGCTGAATAACAAATATTTGAAACTGTTGGGGCCACATGGTCACTGTCACAACTACGCAATTGTCCACTGTAGTGTGAAAGCAGCCATAAAAAATATATGTACACAAAGGGGTATGGCTGTGTTCCAATAAAACTTTATTTACAGAACAGACAGTGGGCTGTAGTTTGTGCACCTCTGCTTTTGATGCTTCTTCTGGAGATTGCTGGCATCCTTTAAAAAATGATAGGGTTTAGGCAGAGGGTAAATTGGCAGCTAAAAGCCATAGTTTGCTTCTATATTCATAGGAAAACTATAGACTAAACCTCCCAATTCCAAGTGAGTGACAGAATATCCTTTGGGGCTATTTGACAATATTTGCAGATTAACGAGAATAACAATCAAGTCTGATTCACAGTATATCATTTTCTATAATGACATGTGAGTGCACTTAACAAAGAAATTTGGAAATAGAAGTATAAAATACACTGACAAAATGCTCTAGTTCATGGTCAATAGACAGGCAGAGAGGAGCATTTTTATATCTAGTTGATCCAAATCTGTAATGGATGCTTCTCTAAAAACATACGCAGTGGCTTATGATATTTTCAGTCAACTGCTATGTTTTGTAGATAGCACAGAGGAAAGGAGGTATGGATGGGTTTGTGGGAGGGCTCCTTACTGACTTGTCAGGCTCATCTTCTCTAAGCACAAAGTGCCCATCTTGGTTTCAAGGCCTGTTAGATAGATGTGTTCACAGTAATGTAATGACAGGTACAAATTCCTCTGGCCCTAGACAGCCACATAACTCTTCTGGGAACCATGAATAAATCCCCACACGTATCCTCCCCTGTTAGCATTCAGACTTCATACATTTTTAAAGCCACATTGAGATCATTCTGCACAGAGGTGTCTATACCACCTCTCATTTAAATATTAAGATGCTCTAGCTTTTCCTGTGTGATCAGGTGGAGGCAATTGCAACCATCTCAATTTCTGGTGCTTTAATGGGGAGGCAAACAGAGGTCATAATACCAAATAAATAAACACATAAATAAAAATTTTTACAAAATTACTGGCTTTGCAATTCCTGATAAGAAACATTTACAATAAATTTTTACCTTCCTAGTTATACTCTAGTTAGGTTACCACTAAGATGCATCTGTATTTTCTACATCCATGGAAAGATTAACAGGAATCAAAGAGGAGAAATCATGGTTGAGGTTCTAAATTAGTCATAGAGAAGCCACTGAGCGTTTGAGAGAATAATGCACTTCCTATGAACCGTGTCTTCTGGAATGTAGAAGGACACAGCTTGGAGAATGTAACCAAGCTATGACTAGGAAGGGTCTTCTTGCTGGTGTACCCACCTGGAAGGGGGAAAGTGAAGACCAGGAAGGGAAGGAACTGGGAAGGCTAGTTCTATTTACTTAAAAATAATTTTCTAAAGTAGAGATGCTGTTCAGCTTATGCAACATATGTGATATCTATGAAAAGTCATCCGTGTTATTTCCCTACCTAAAATATGCTCCCAAATTGAGTTCTGGAGCAAAGGGCTTATCTGAAACAATGGTGCAGCCAATCCCTGAAGCCTGGACAGGAATCCGATAGGTGTTGCTATTTTCAATTTCCAAAATGACCATGTCCTTAAATGTCAGTTCATCATTCAGGTTGGCAGTCACTGTCAGTTGAATATCAATGTCCGGGGGAACCATGCCTTCACTGGGTTCAACTTTCCAAAGGGACTTTTTGTGTGCCTGCAACACAAGACTACAAGTTAACAGTGAAGATATTCTCGGCTTTTCCTTCTGCACATGTCAAAGCCCTCTCTATTCAAAAGGTGGGCACTGCAGAACTCAACATCAGAGACAAACATTTTTCTCAAATCAAAGCAGCTGGTTGTTTGTTGGCTTTTCATTTTTCAAAAAGCAATGTGATTCTTAAGAGCAAATCTACAATTCTACTTTTAAATGCTCTGTGAAGATTCTTTACATCTCTTTCTCTAGACGACAGCCCAGGTTGCTAACAAGCTGATACTAATTATCCGCTCTAATCACCAAATTCTGAGCATTATCAATAGAAGACACAACATCCTTCCTGGAATTTGGAATTTTTAAAAGAAATGCTTTTCAAGAGCAAAGTTTCTATGATGTTACAGTGAAGATGAACAGCTTTCATTAATAAGCACAATACAGGATGTCGTCTTGATTTCTATTATTTAATAATAATAAATTTCTATTTGCTAAAATTCTAAACTTATTCTGAAATATGTGATAGGACTAAATTATAGAGTTGAAAGCAACTCTCACCAATCAATTCCCTTTAGCTGATTAGATCCTCATAGCTCACACTCCTTTTCCTCCTTAAGGCCAAACAATACCTCTCAATGAAGTCTACTCTGATGATTGCCTTTTATTTATTTTTATTTATTTATTTTTTCATGTGGGAGTCGAACCGGCAACTTTGCTGTTAAGAGCGCACACTCTATCCACTGAGCCATCCGGGTGGCATCTCAGCTCAAGGTGTAGAGTTCAATCCCAGCCGTGGGTGGGCATAGCCCACCATCAAACAGGCAATCTTGTTATTTGGAGCACGTGCTCTCACCAGCTGAGCCATCCTGCCACCTGTTGGCAGCTCAGCAGCAGCTCAGCTAGGGCACAGCTCAGCGAAGCTCACTGGTCCATGTGGGAATCGAACCAGCGACCATGTTGCTCAGAGCTCGTGCTCTTAAGCAAACTCTTAACCAACTGAGCCACTTGGCCAGCCCTTGATGATTGCCTTTTAAACTGCAAACCTTCCCCCAGTACTCCTGATCCCTTTTATCCTGTTCTGTTTTTTTCCACTTCAGCACTTATCTCCAAACATTGTACATAATTGACTTATATTATTATGCTTGTCTGTGTTCTTGCACTAGAATATAAGCTCTCCATAGAAGGGAGTTTTGCCATTTTTGTTCTTGTTGCTGTTGTTGATTGATATAACCCCAGCATCCATAACTATGCCTGGCACATAGTAGGTGCTTACTAAATATTTGATAAATGAACTAACATATCTGCCTTTTGATCAAACCCTTTGATGTAAGAGAACTCATTTCTTATATAAGGTAACTTTTCCCAGGTTTTAATAACTCAACCTATTAGATATCTCTCCTTATCTTAAGTAGAGATATGTTTGGGTTTTTTTTGGACCTTCCATACACTGGTGTTTGGTCCTTGCCCTTGGAGCTAAATAGAATATATTGAATCTCCCTCTTTTGCTAAACAGCCCTTCAAATCCGGCATCCCAGCTTTAGAAGAAAACCTTATATGGCACAAACAGGTTCCAAAGGAAGTTGAAAATTTGCTTAAGGTGTCAAATCATAAAAAATGACTCATGCTATAAGCATCTTATTTAATCTGAAAATATAAATTCTGCTTCTATGATGGTACTATATCTATTTTGTCAGGCTGCTTTTAGATGTTTCTCCTTATTTTTTATTGTAGTGCAGGTTAACTATAACATTTCTAGTTATGGCTTTATTTGCATATGCTGCTGGGAATTTGCTACCTTTCTAGAATCTGTGGTTTGATATCTTTTATTTCTGGAAAATTCTCAGCCATTATAAATTTTGTTTCTGCCTCATTCTCTTTCTCCTTTCCTTGTATTATTCCGATTATATATGTGTATGACTTTCCTAATGTATCCTCTCTGTCTCTTCGACTCTCATCTGCATTTTCCAATCTTTTGCTCTCTGTGCTTCATTTTGGATGATTTCTTCTGAGCTATCTTCTAGTTCACGAATTCTTTCTTCAGCTGTGTGTGATCACTGTTAAACACACCTATGATGTTCCAATTTTGCTTTTTTTTTTGGAATTTTTGAATTCAGGTCTTATTATTTATATTTCTTTTTATACATTTTCAGCCTACTGAGATATTTTAACACCCTGATATTTGACTTAATAGCTACTAATCCTAGTCTCTCTTTAATTTGATAAGCAAATTGTTTTTTAGAACTTTTCAACTAAATATAGCAAATACATATTCAATGGCTCTGAGGTCCAGGTGTTATGGGAGACACAAAAATGTCCAAAGCACTTTCCTTGCCCCCAAAGAGCTGACAGTAATGACATACACAGAGACCAACATGTAAACAACAAAATTTCAAGTAGGAAGAGATAGGGGTAAAAGTGCTTCAGGGAATCTAAAGAACAAGATACTTTCCAGAGCAGAGGATGTTGAAACCTTTTGATTCTGTGACAAATATACCAGTCATGATTTTTTAATAATAAAATTGGGTTCAGTTGTAAAATTGGGCTCAATTATCAGGTAGTGTGATTCCTAATTGTATTATGCTATTGATTAATCAAATGCAAATTTATTCCATTCTAATTTTATATATAAACAATTAACTCAAAATTAACCAAAAGCATCATATCCCTAGTTTGATTGCTATATCATTTCAATCAATTCTGATAGTCCTATTTTATTGTGGAGAAGAAATTCCTCAGAAATATGTATACAGATTAATATTTATAGAAAATATTTACTGATTACCAACGATGCATTAGGAAAAGGCTGAAAATAGAAGAGACGTGGACATCATTTAGAAACTTCCAGGATAATAGCTGAAAGGCAAAGCTAAAGCCTCCAGTTCATTGGAGAAGGGTGTGATTATTCCCTCATGAATCTCATACTCTTCTGAGGATGGTAGCTCAGAAGAAGCCCTCTGAAGAAACTCACACAGAGGAAAACAATGTACTCAAAAACAGATGTAAAATATACTCTGTGGGCTGGATTTCAGAGGACATTCCAGTCCACAACTTCCCTTCCTCCATGTACTTTGTGTGATGTACTTCTCCTAGCAAAAAGAAAAAGGAAGAAACGAAAAATGCATGTAACTCTATGGGTGCATAGGTACAATGTAAGGCTATGAGTCAGAAACTTCTTGACAGCATAGGTGAGGTTTGGAATAGGGTTGTCTTGATGATCATTGTAAATAAGAAGAATGTACATTGCAATTTGCAGCTAAGAGTTAGAAATTTCAGCCAGGAAGGATCTCACAGGGTGGCAGCACTTGGAATGTCACCAAAATCCAGATCTGGCCCCACTGCAGATTCAAAAACTAATTTAGCCTAGAATGGTCACTCTCTTAGAAACAGGTTCACAGGTATTAATAAAGAGAATCCAATATTTAAAGCCAAATGCCAATTTCCCAACTAACAATTGAGGACAGGCCAGAATGCTGGTTACATTTCCTCCTGGTTTGAAAGTCTATACAGAAACTAATAAATAAATTGCATTTTAAAATTTAAATAAATTAAATGAAGCAAAGGAGAAGAGTTCTCAAGATGATAAATTGTTTATAATGAGGATGTAGATGAAATATTATTTTAATTTTGGCATTAATGGAAATTATAGACTTAACTCTAAAGAGTCCTATTATTACTCCTGATCTTTTCATGTGGGACATTCTAGAGACAGATATCAAAGAAAACACACATTAAATACCATACTAGATAAACTAGGGTTAAGACAGGATATTTGTATGATAATTATCTCTATTCCAAAAATATTCATGGCTAAAAATGCTGATTCTTATACAACTTACTCTTTTTCCAAAACTTTCTGACTTTTCTAATAGCAAATTAGCCCTACCAAAGTACTAAAATATTAAGAAAATAGTAAGCAAAGTCTCTTTCCAGAACATTAATTTGCATTTACTTATCATTTTATCTTAAAATATATATATATATATTTTTAAGATTTTTATTGGGGAATTGGGGGAGGGAACAGCGTTGGGGAATTGAGGAAGGGGAACAGACAAGTTGCTGTCCTTTTGTCCTTCAGTCTAGTTGTGGAGGACGTTGCTTCACTGGCCCATGTTGGTATTGTGATCATTGCGCTCTTCCTGGCTGAGGCAGATCAGTCGCTGGCCATTGGACAGCCACTCACGGCAGCTCACAGCAACTCACCTCGGCTGCCAGCTGCTCACGCTGGCTGCTGGCCACTCATGGTAGCACACGGCAGCCCACTGCAGCAGGGGCTGCAGCCTATGCCGGTCGCTGGTGACTCATGGCAGCCCAGCTCCAGGTCGAGCTATTGTTCACCATCTTAGCTGTAGAGGGTGCAGCGTTGCTGGCCCATGTGGGATCCAAACCAGTGGCTCTGCTGCTCAGAGCTCACGCTCCCAAGCCAACTCTTAACCAACGAGCCAGTTGGCCAGCCCCTATCTTAAAATATTAGTAACAAAAATAATCCTCAGAAATTTAATTTTCAGGATTATAGATACATTATTATTGATAAGAGACACTACAAGGGTTGAATATCACTATATTCTGCTCATATTGAGTTCAAAGAAATAATTTCTAATATCTTTTTAATTTATTCAAAACAAATTTTTAACAGTCTGTCTTAGTCCATTCACAGCAATGTACGCTTTTTCTAGCATGCACTTCCAAACTCTTACAGCCTCTACCAATTACCTAGCTCCAAAGTCACATCCACATTTTTACGTATTTGTTACAGCATCTCCCACTCTCAATACCAATTTCTGTTTTAGTTTGGGCTGCTATAACAAAGTGCCATAGGCTGGGTAGCTTATAAACAACAGAAGTTTATTTCTCACAGCTCCTGAGGTTGGCAGTCTGAGATCAGGGTGCCAGCATGGTTGAATTCTGGCAAAAAAACCTCCTCTGGTTTGAGGACTGCCAATTTTTCATTGTATTCTTGCATGGTGAAAAGCCAAAACACAGGAAGCAAGTAAACTCTTTCATGAGGA